GATCAGGCTTTATCTGGTGCAATTTCTTCTACAGTCATCAGACAGCATTCAGCTTAACCCCGAAGCAGCTGTCAATTAGGAGAAACATTGGAAACCAGGAAACACTTTCAGACCCAAACCCAAATAGAATTGTTAAAAAAGGGCCGGGTGCAAGAGGGAGACATGTCGGTTTTCCATTTGAAAAATGTCACTCGTTCCAGGTTTATTTTCCAAATGTTGTTATTCCCTCACCAGACAAATGCCATTTATTTAAATTGGTATTTACATGCAGTAAAATCATCCGAAAGGCTATATCTTGTATTTTCTACAGAATTTTGAAGGAAATTGACAGCTTTCAGGTACAGAAAGCACAGTATGGAAAAGTACTTTTCAAAAATGTTAAACTATACATTCTATTGTCTATGAAGCCTCTCCAAGCACTCATGAAGCAAAAATCTTAAATGGCACTAAATTGTTTCAATCACTGCCAGCAACTGAACTCCAAGAAAGTACATGTAGGGATGCAAAATTGTCACAGCAGATAGCACAACACCTCTTCTCCAAAGCACTCCCATCCCCAAGAACTAAGCTTTTATGAAAGACTGCAAGCACCACCTCTAGATGGCGCAAAGTGTGCGTATGCACAAGAGATACTAGACATCATTTTGAAGGGACTGATAGCAACAGCCAGTCTCAAAAACGGTGGTGCCAAAAGTTTTGTGCAATCCTGAACTCGGCCTGAAGTCACATCTAGCACAGCCAGAGTGACAGTCAGATTTAGAATTAGTAGTGAAGCCTGGCAGTGGTCTACATATAGTCTGGAACATAGGCAAGGAGCTTCAACCAGTTGGGGAAAACAGGTCCAGCCAAAGTCCTAGCAGCACTGTGAAGTCAGTGTGTGTACCGACACTTACTGTGGCCTGCTTCAGTCAGCTGACAACATGGCTGTCTACTGATGGCATTATGGAAATCAGTTTATGAAAATTTCAACCAGGACACAGATATCACTGCATGACATTTTTGTACCGCAGTAACATGAGGAGCATTTTGAGCAATTTCATTAGTGTTTTGGTTTACATTCATTTGTGGAAATGAGTTATGAACTTTGTTAATGGGAAAATATATTGGCACACTAAATTATGCAGGTTGCAAGTGTCTGAAATAAATACAATTCCCTTAAAATTTACTTAGTAGAAATGTATACCTACATTGTACAAATGATAATTTTATCACACTTACCCTTGTTGAGCTGCAGCTTGAGTGTAGGTACTATAATCTATAAAAAGAAAGGATTTATTTCCTCAACTAAATATATTAAGTTGCTGGAAGTAGGTTTCTCATGTTACAAAATAGAAATGATAAAAATCTAGTAAAATGTTTGCACGACATCCATATGAAATATTACTTCCAATTCACTAAAAAAAAAACCAAGATTCACCAACATACTATTAACTATCTTAACATGGTTGGGATCCCTTACTCCACTTCTAGACAATGACAGAGCACAGGAACAATTGTAATTCTTAGCAATTTTTTTTCTCACCCTTCAAGAAAGAAACGGTTATTTGGGTAAGGAAACCAAAACACCTCAAAGCTTTTGAAGTAACACCATCTATGTGGGTTTTGGCATACTTTTGGAGTCAGTGCAACATAATCTCAACAAAAATGGTGCCAGAATGACTGAATACAGCTGCCAACACACCAGACAAAGCTGCACTTGGGGCCAGAGATGATATCATGGGAACAGTTATAATTGTGAATAACCATGTCAAGAGGTTAAGCTTAAAAGGCCAATATGAACATAGATCTCACAAATTCTGGTTTCCTTAGCTTTGTTTTCCATCCTATTGGTCTCTAAACCAAAGCTACAAAAGTATAGATCATAGAATCCCTAGTGTGGAAACCGGCCCTTTGGCCCAACAAGTCCGCACCGAACCTCAGAGCATTCCACCCAGACCCATCCCGCTGTAACCCACCTAATCTACACATCCCTGGACACTACAGGCAATTTAGTATGGCCAATCCACCTAGCCTGCATATCTTTGGACTGTGGGAGGAAACCTACACAGACACGGGGAGAACGTACAAACTCCATACAGACAGTCGCCCGAGGGTGGGATTGAACCCGGGTCCCTGGTGCTGTGAGGCACCAGTGCCGCCCCTAGTTATGTTATGTTGTTATTCAGTTGTTTATCCAACCATTGCTTGTCTGATTCCCTTAGCCATTTTATGTAACCTACATTTGCTAAGTTTGAAATGTCAAGCCAAAAACTACAAACTGCTCATATATATCAATTTTCATTACCAAAATCGCTCAATTATACATTTGCAGAGTATGGGAAGCCTTTATATATCATTTTCACATCAAACCCATAGTGTGCACATTCGTGTGCATTTGAATGTTACAAGAGAAAAAAAGTCAGCATAAAAAGCCCATTGTGTATGTATATTGCAACATTGCTATGATTAAATTTAAGCCCCAAATTAACTTCCAAAACTGTAATTTCAAATGCTATGTTTGTACTTGTTAGCGATTCCTCCCACATCCAAGGCACACAAAAGCTCGTAAGCATAGAAACTCACATGTATCAAAATCCTCTCCATATCCTTTACCAATGAATATATTTTTAATGAGATGCAACTATTAAGCCTACAGATTCCTTTCCCCTTCCTCAACTTTCATCTGTTGGAATATTAGTATAGACAGCTTTTCACAGAAAATTCATGCTTCCAACCAACCACAGTAATAGATCTCACTTAGTTTTGGGCTCACTCCAGAAAGGAGGTCAGCTGTATCTTTTACTGAGGTTTTTGTAATTTTGACTTCTAGGATGAGAAGTTGCCATCCACAGGTCCAGTAAAGGTCTAATTCCGTCAATCCTTCATTCATTGAATAATTACAACCAAAATAGTTTAAAGGTCAGTTTAAACTTAATAACCAATTTCAGTAACAGCTTAAAGTCTATTTTTCCTTTCCCACAAGAACAGCTAACCCTCAGTTCTGTTAAGTCCCAAGTAGAATAACTATCGATAATAAAGGCTTCCACTTTCTCCACTGCAGCCCTTCCCAGTTTATTGATGAACACTAGACGCTCATGGACAACGCCACAGATCACAGGAGACTGACCCTTAAAAGTTTAAAATAGCAGGTCTCAACAAACGATAGCAAGGATCAAAAAAGGCTCAATTTCAGGATGCGAGGTGAAAGTAATTTTAGGATCGTTACTGAACTAAATGTTTAAATTGTCTTATGTAGGCTTTATTCAGCAGTGAACGTACAAGCTTGACTTTTTATACCAAATTCCGGATATGAATGTAAAAATATACCACAGTCAAGACTTTAAATTTATTAAAAAAAAAAAAATCAAACAATGGCCAGCGATTTTCAATACCAGTAAAAGATATTGAAGAGGACGACGAAAGTCACCCCATGTTCTTTATCCGGAAGCATGCAAACGTGGAGTTCCCACTAAAATTATTAAGACATCATTAGAGAGTTTACGATTAACCTTTGGTACGCTACCAGAAGGTAACGTATATGAACGGAAATATTAAACCTTCCTGCATCCAAAAATTACAGAATCAATTTAAACTAAGTCACACGCGGTCCCCACAGTATCGTCAAACAAAAAGGAATTTCAGATCGTATGCGCGACTCCATTTTGGCACAGTGCCAACACAGTTGTTAAAAACATTCTTAAAAAAAAATTTAAAACGAACTACGCCGAAATAAAGAGCCGATCGGTTCGTAGCAAGTGTTGCGCGATTTCAGTGGGGAGAAAAAAAAAAAAATCGAACCGACTTTTGAAAAGTTGCAAAATCCCAAATGGTGCAGTTTTTAAAAAAAACTGCAATTTAATCACACCAGATTCGAAAATACGTATAGAGGACTGGGGAGATGGATCCCTACGGAAAGTATTTGCTGCGAAGCGTTGTACTGGCTGACCCTCGCCCTCCTCTCCCTTCCCCCCCCCCCCCCCCCCCCCACCCTGACTAGGCCTCGACGGTAACGGATTGCCAGGAAAGGGATACACTTCCGCCTCGTCGTCGGTGAAAACTCCACCTCGGAGTCTCCCAGGGGCGAGGGAGTGTGGCGGCAGTGGCAGCCGGTCGACACTGGCGGAGCGGAGCGGGCCCGGCCTCGTCGTCGGCTTTCACACGTCGACCCCCGCGGCTTTGTGGCGCAGCTACGTTCCTGCGGGGGAGGTGCTCTCTCTCTCTCACACACACACACACACATCCCGAGGCCCCAACGGCCACAAGGCCGGCCAATCGACCGGCCTCTCTTTTCTTCACCCTCCCCCCGCAAACAACAAAAAAAAACTCCCGACACGCGATATCGGGAACTGACGCCCGAACCCCCTTCCGATCTTTTCTTAAAAAAAACAGCCTCCCAGATGGTATCCTAAGTGGGGGGGGGGGGGGGGGGGGAGAAGAAAGAGGAAAAAAAACTCGATGTAATCGCCGGTAACCAACAATCCTTTTCAGAAAGAAACTGACACGGGTGGGGAGGTCGAAAGCAGAAAAGAACCATTATCGTCCGGGGCTGGGTGCGGGCAGCCGGGCATACGACCCGAGCGCCTTTAAATCCGATGCCAACAGTTAGAGACTCCCTCTTACCCGTCGACGCCATCTTCACCGACCTCTGACTGCCTGCGAAACGCGCCTGCGCGGAGCCTCGCCGGACTCAACCACTTAATTTGGCGCCTTGCGCAACTCGCGCCGGAAATGTTTTAATTCAAAAAAAAGGTCCTCGACTCCAATCGCCACGATCCCGCCCGAGTTCTCAAATTGTTACGCAGGGATTACAGATGGACACCGCCGACCACCTCTTCCCCTCTCCCTTACATAGGATTGTTAAAACGAAATTTAAAAAAAAAACGATGATTACGAAAGAACGGGGCTGGCCTCTTTTCGCTGAGGCTTTATGTTTTAAATGTCCGCTTCCACGTCCCGCTATTTAAAGAGAGGGCGGCGCACTGGCGCGTCCGGCGTAACGCGGTAAACCGTTCGGGTAGAACAATGGAGGGAATGTAGCGCCTTGTTGATGGTTCCGGGCCGGTCGCGATGGAAACGCGGCCATTTCGCCTCAGCCACCATCACCATGCGTACCTCGTATCACCGCTTCTCTTCTCTTTCGATTCTCTTCTCCGTTCCGTTGGGCGCGCGGACATTATGTCTTTCCTCACCGGTTTGAAAGCGGGCTGAAATAAAACGCACCGTCTCCACTTTCATATAATCCGTCACCTTGCACGGAGGTTTTGTTTTAATATAATCAGATCCGCCATAGCGTGGCTGTAGTAAGACAACACCGCCCATCACTCTTTCAAGTCTCCCTCCCTCTCCGCTCGACGCCAGTCAGCGATGCTCAGTCCTGTTGTAGGGTGTATCTCAGGGGTGTGGTGGGTGTCTCCGCCCCGGTAAAGAGCCAGCGAAGAGAAAGGCCGGTGATCGGGCACCAAGTAAGAAGGTCTTCGGAGGAACCCCCCCTCCTCTCCCCGATATTATTATCATCATTATCATGTTGCGGCGGCAATAATCCAGATATTTTCTTCACCGACCCGCTGGGGGTTGGGATGGGGCGCTGTGGCGACTGGCTGCGGGCCGGCCTCGGGGTGGCCCAAGTGAGGGCTCGGGTGCCGAGCGCCAGCGCCGCCTTCCTCGCTCTTGTTCTCTTGTTGTGGCTGACCGGGCCCGAGGAGGCTTTTACCCTGACAGCCAGCTCCGTGCTCTCTCACCGCCAAGGTAAGTGTCTCATCCTCATCCACCACCACCACCCCACCAAATCAGCAAATTTACTGGATGGTGGGACTAAATCCTAATCCGAGATAACCCCATAGCAAACTGTCCAAAACACACTTAGCCTCTGGTTTGACGACAGGGTTGGGCCAGAAATTCTTCCTGTAGTGTTTTGGACGAATACTTGGATAAAAATAACGTGCCAAGGGTATGAGAGGGGTAAAAATAGGTGACTGGTACTAAGAAAATGATGCCCGTTTGATGAGCTGGTGCAGGCACAATGGATCGAATGGTCTCCGTCTACGCTGTAACACTTCAATGATTCTGTGTGAGTTTCATCCCAGTTTAGATGTTAAAAAATGGTAAAGTTTGCTTCAATTATCATTTATATGTGGAAATAGAGTCATAGAGTTTTACAGCATAGTAGGACGCCCTTTGGCTCATTGTATTGATGTCGGTCATCAGGCACCTATCTACTTTAGTCCCAATTCTCAGCACTTGGTCCATAGCCTCGTATGCTGTGACATTTCAAGTGTACATCTAAATACATATTAAATGTTGGCCACTGCCTTTCAGCCAGAGTTCCAAATACTCAACTACCCTCTGGGTGACAAAATCTTCTGCTTAGATCTCTTTTAAAGCTCCTGCCCTTACCCTAAATTTGTGATTCTTGTATTAAGAGAGAAAATATACTCCTATTGACCCCACCTATGCCCTTCATAATTTGTATACTTCAGTCAGGTCCTGCATCAGCCTTCTTCGCTCCAAGCAAAATGAATGAGCTGTAAGAGGAAGTGGTGGAGGCTGGTACAATTATAACATTTAAAAGGCATCTGGATGGATATAAGAATAGGAAGGGTTTAGAGGGATATGGGTCAAATGCTGACAAATGGGACTAGATTAATTTAGGATATCTGATTGGCATGGACAAGTTAAACTGATACGTTTGTTTCCGTGCTATACATCTCTATGATTCTATAGATGCTATTCCAGCTATGGTCTAACCTGCATCTGACACAGCTCCATCAAAACCTCCTTGTTCTTGTATTCACGACCTCACTCAATAAAGGCAAGAATCCCATATGCCTTCTTAACTATCCTATCCATCTGTATTGTTGCCTTCAAGGATCTATGAACATGCACATCCCTACTATTCATCATGTACTCCTTTGCCTTGCTCGTCCTCCCAAAATACATACTACATGCTTTTTGGGATTAAACCCAGTTTCTAACTGTTTTATCCATTTGAGGAACCCGTCCGTATCTTCCCATAGTCTGAAGTTTTTGTCCTCACTTTACAACACCATGTTTTTTTTTGTTACCTGCAAACTGATTAAATCACCAGCATCCATGTCTAAATCATTAATGTATACTACAAACAGCAAGGCACCCAGTAGCAAACTAACCTGTGGTATGTCACTGGACGAGACATTGAGTTATAAGAACAACCTTCAATCAGCACCCTGTGCCTCCTGCCGCTGAGCCAATTTTAAACTGCCCAGGATTTGAAGCATCCATCAGTTTGAAAGGAAAGAAAAGTGGAAAAGCAAATCTTTTAATTTTAGGAATACAGACATTTACTTGCCAGGTTCCTTTTATATCCAGGAAATCCTAAATCAATACAATGCTCATTACCTTTCCCATACACTATAGTTCATTTGACATGTATTTACAGACCGACGGTTATTAAATTTTTATTGCATTCCTTGTAATGTTGTATAAAGATGAAAATGGTTTACATGTATTTGGACTAAAGATGTTTAAAACACAGATGTGTCTGTGGCACTACTTTACTGAGCAATTAGAAGCTAATTCACAAATTCTGATTAAAGCTCAGTATTTTCTGCATTTTGTATTTCTGTATCAGGTTTCCAACTGCAGCAGTATTTTGCACTGGCATAAATTAACTCCATAGCCCCTGCTTTCTCCTTTGGAATGCTTTGATGGCCCAAAGAAATTTACCCTAAAAATCCCAAAGAAGTACAAAGAATTACTTTGGGCATACAAGTGGCTGTTTGGCTGAATGACAACACTCTGATCTGCAAGTAAGGAAGTTGCAACTTTAAATGCCACATTTTCATTTTCTAGACTGACAATTCAGTGCACTATTAAGTGATCATCACATTGTTGGAAATGTTAATTTTCGAGTGAGACCTTTCAGCTGGAGCTAAAATATCTCATGGTGAAAAAAAGCATAGTTGTTTTCCCAAGTGTAGTGATCAATGTTTATTCTTCAACAGCAAAAACCCCAAATATATGTTTCAGAGATAGTTAGAACTGCAGATGCTGGAGAATCTGAGATAATAAGGTGTAGAGCTGGATGAACACAGCAGGCCAAGCAGCATCAGAGGAGCAGGAAAGCTGATGTTTCAGGCCTAGACCCTTCTTTGAAATGGGGGTGGGGAAGGGGTTCTGAAATAAATAGGGAGAGAGGGGGAGGCGGATAGAAGATGGATAGAGGAGAAGATAGGCAGAGAGGAGACAGACAGGTCAAAGACGCGGGGATGGAGCCAGTAAAGGTGAGTGTAGGGAGGGGATAGGTCAGTCCAGGGAGGACGGACAGGTCAAGGGGGCAGGATGAGGCTAGTAGGTAGGAGATGGGGGGGGGGCTTGAGGAGGGGGGGAGGGGACAGGTGGGAGGAAGGACAGGTTAGGGAGTCGGGGACAAGCTGGGCTGGTTTTGGGATGCGGTAGGGGGAGGGGAGATTTGGAAGCTTGTGAAGTCCACAATGATACCATTGGGCTGCAGGGTTCCCAAGCAGAATGTGAGGTGCTGTTCCTGTAACCTTCGGGTGGCATCGTTGTGACACTAGGAGGCCCAGGATGGACATGTTGTCTGAGGAATGGGAGGGGGAGTTGAAATGGTTCGCGACTGGGAGGTGCAGTTGTTTAGTGTGAACCGAGCGTAGGTGTTACGCAAAGCGGTCCCCAAGCCTCCGCTTAGTTTCCCCGATGTAGAGGAGGCCATGATGGGAACAGCGGATACAGTATGCTACATTAGCAGATGTGCAGGTTACGTGGAACAATCCCTCTTCCGTAGCTACACTGGCCCTAAACCCCATCTCTTCCTCTGTTACATTGATGACTGTATCGGCGCCGCCCCATGCTCCCACGAGGAGCTTGAACAGTTCATCCACTTCACCAACACCTTCCACCCCAACCTTAAGTTCACCTGGACCATCTCTGATACCTCTCTCTCCTTCCTGGACCTCTCTGTTTCCATCTCTGGCAACCACCTGGAAACCGATATCCATTTCAAGCCCACCGACTCCCACAGCTACCTAGAATACACCTCCTCCCACCCACCTTCCTGCAAAAATGCCATCCCCTATTCCCAATTCCTTCGCCTCTGCCGCATCTCCCAGGATGAGGCATTCCACTCCCAAACATCTCAGATGTCCTCGTTTTTCAAGGATCACAACTTCCCCACCCCCCACCTCAGTGATCGAGAATGCCCTCGACTGTGTCTCCCGCATTTCCCGCAACTCATCCCTCACACCCCCTCCCTACAATAACAATCAAAACAGAATCCCCCTCGCCCTCACGTACCACCCCACCAACCTCCGGATCCAATGAATCATCCTCCGACACTTCCACCATCTGCAATCCGACCCCACCACCAAAGACAATTTTCCCTCCCCACCCTTATCTGCTTTCCGGAGGGACCACTCTCTCCGGGGCTCCCTTGTCCGCTCCACACTCCCCTCCAGCCACACCACACCCGGCACTTTTCCCTGCAACCGCAGGAAGTGCTACAGCTGCCCCTACACCTCACCCCCATCCCAGGCCCCAAGAAGACTTTCCACATCAAGCAGATGTTCACCTGCACATCTGCTAATGTGGTATACTGTATCCGCTGTTCCCGTTGTTGCCTCCTCTACATCGGGGAAACTAAGCGGAGGCTTGGGGATCGCTTTGCGCAACACCTACGCTCAGTTCGCACTAAACAACTGCACTTCCCAGTCGCGAACCATTTCAACTCCCCCTCCCATTCCTCAGACAACATGTCCATCCTGGGCCTCCTGCAGTGCCACAACGATGCCACCCGAAGGTTGCAAGAACAGCACCTCATATTCCGCTTGGGAACTCTGCAGCCCAGGGGTATCAATGTGGACTTCACAAGCTTCAAAATCTCCCCTCCCCTGACCGCATCCCAAATCCAGCCCAGCTTGTCCCCGCCTCCCTAACCTGTCCTTTCTCCCATCTCAAGCCCCACCCCCATCTCCTATCTACTAGCCTCATCCTGCCCCTTTGACCTATCCATCCTCCCTGGACTGACCTATCCCCTCCCTAACTCCCCACCTACACTCACCTTTACTGGCTCCATCCCCGCCTCTTTGACCTGTCTGTCTCCTCTCCACCTATCTTCTCCTCTATCCATCTTTTATCCGCCTCCCCCTCTCTCCTTATTTATTTCAGAACCCCCTTCCCCTCCCCCTTTTCTGAAGAAGGGTCTAGGCCTGAAACATCAGCTTTCCTGCTCCTCTGATGCTGCTTGGCCTGCTGTGTTCATAGAGCTCTACACCTTGTTACCTCAAATATATGTGTTGGGATCATAGGGTACAAATTGGTGCATGTGCTCACATAACAAAGAGGCTCCTCAGCCCTCTTCGAAAAAAGGAGTACTTCTCAAGGATTGTTAATGGGATATCTCTGTTCCAAAAAGAGGAGAAAGACAATCCAGAAAATACAGGCCATGGCAAGTCAATCTAACACTGGTGGTGGGGATGTTATTGGAAACCATTATAAGGAACAAAATAATCCTTTATTAGTAAAGGTATGATTTAATCAGAGCCAGTTGGGATTTGTAAAAGGGGAATCTTGCCTGATTAACATGATTAAATTCTTTGAATAAATAGAGAAGGTTTTTATTTAAGTTGTTCTTGGGATGTGGGAGGCACTGTGACAGCTCGCTTTTGTTGCCCATGAGAAGGTGGTAGAGTTTATGACTTTAGAATGTGCTGTTGAAGAAGCCTTGGCAAGTTTCTGAAATGCATCTTATAGTA